ATCAGTATGGAGATTACTCAGAAAAATGGGTATAAACTTACGACAAGACCCAGCAACTTCAGTCTTAAGAATATATCCAAAAGATGCCCATTCATACAACAAGGACATCTGTTCCTCTATGTTCATAGCACCATTATTTGTAATAGCCAGAACTTGGAAGCAACCTAGATGCCCCTCAACCGAAGAGTGGATAGAGAAAATATGGTACATTTACACAATGGAGTACTATTCAGCAGAAAAAAAAACAATGGAATCCTGAAATCTGCAGGCAAATGGATGGCACTAGAAGAAAGCATCCTGAGAGAGGTAACCCAGTCAGAAAAAAAAACCAAACATGGTAAGTAATCTCTCATATATGGATTTTAGACATATATCTGGGGAGTGCCCGGCTACAATCCCATAGCCAGAGAGTCTGGGAAACAGAACCTTAATTCAATGGCTGATGGAAGAAGAGGCAGTCTCCCACAGCTAAACATTGAGCTGGACTCAAGGAACCCAGTGACAGAGAGGGAGGACTGATGAGCAAAGGGGTTAAGACCAGGCTGGTTTAACTCCAGAAACAGCTGACCTGATAAGTGGTACCTCTTGAATTCTAGACTCATGGCTGGGAATTCAGCATGGGACTGATCAAGACCCCTGAATTTCAGTGTCAGTGATAAGGCCTAGGCAAGTTATGAGACCTTGGGTAGTAGATCAGTGTTTATCCCTGGCATACAAATGGACTTTAGCTGTCCATCCCACATTGAGAGTTGCCCCCTCAACTTGGACTCTTGGGGAAGGGTCTAGGCCCTGCTCTCAATGAAATGACAGACTATAGACACCATCATGTAGGGCCTCACTCTCTCTGGGAAAAGGAAGGTGTATTAGGGGGATGGAGGGAGGGCATGGGAGGAGGAGAGGGAAAGGAAGAGGGACCTTGGATTGACATGTGAAGCCACCTTGTTTCTAATTTAAATTTAAAAATAAAAATAAAAAAATAAAAGGTGAGCTACAGAACTAAATAAATTATCCTCAATAGAGGTGTCTAAAATGGATAAGATGCATTTGAGAAAGTGATCAATATCCCTAGCCATCTGGGAAATGCAAATCAAAACCACTCTGAGATACCATCTTACTCCTGTCAGAAGGGCTAAAAAAAAAAAACACCAATGACAGTTTGTCCTGGAGAGGATGTGGAGAAAGGGGAGCACTCCTCCACTGCTGGTGGGAGTGCCAACTCTTACAGCCACTTTGGAAATCAGTATTGAGATTCCACAGGAAATTGGGAATCAACTTACCACAAAATCCATCAATTTCACTCTTAGGCATATATCCTAAAGATGCATATTCATACAGCAAGGACATCTGTTGTATTATGTTCATAGCAGCATTATTTACAATAGCTGCAACCTGGAAGCAACCTAGATGCCCCTCAACTTAAGAGTAGATAGAGAAAAGTGATACCTTTACACAATGGAATACTCTTCAGCAGAAAAAAATAAACACTGGAATCTTGAAATTCGCAGGCAAATGGATGGCACTAGAAGAAACCATCCTGAGTGAGGTAACACAGTCACACAAAGAGAAACACAATACGTACTCTCTCATATATGGATATTAAAAATGGATTACAGTAGTATCAGCCTACAATCCCACTGCCAGAGAGTCTGGGAAACAGAACCTTCAACCAATCACTGATGGAAGCAGAGGCAGACTCCCACAGCTAAACGCTGAGCTGAACTCAAGGAACCCAGAGATAGAAAGGGAGGACTGATAAACATAAGGTTCAAGACTGGGCTTGTTTAACCCACAGAAACTGCTGACCTGAACAAGGAGGAGCTCTTGAACCCCAGACTGATGGCTGGGAATCCAAGATAGGATTGATCTAGACCTCCTGAATGAAGGTGTCAGTGAAAATACCTAGGCAATCTATCGGGCCTGGGGCAGTAGATCAATATTTATCCCTGGCATACAAATGGATTTGTGTGCCTGTCCCACAATGAGAGATGCTCTCTCAGACTGGACTCTTAGGGGAGGGCCTATGTCCTTCCCTGCATGAAATGACAGACTATGGATACCTCCCATGGAGAGCTTCACCCTCCCTGGAGAAAGTAATAGGGAATGGATGAGGAGGATGGGGGTCGGTGGGTGGTTATGGGAGGAGGGGAGGGAAAGGGAGGAGGTTCTAGGATTGACATGTGAAGCAACTCTGTTTCTAATTTAAATTAAAAAAGATTAATATAGCAAAAATTTTGACCCACCAAAACATTATACACATTCATTATGATCCTTAATGAACACAAATATAACTTGAAAGGACATTTTGATTCTTCATATGGAAAAACTAAAAAACAAAAACCCAGGAATGTTAAACCAGGTCATCATACCTCACCTCAAATTGTACGTCATATCTATAATGATAAAACAACATGAAATTTGAACAAAATTAAACCTATTGATTGATTTAATAAAATAGAAGGCAGAGACATAAATACACATACCTGCAGAATCCTTATGGTTGATAAAGAATCAGAAAACTGCATAGGAGAAAGGACTATATCTTCAAAAATATTTTTGGTCAAATATATGGCTGCATGTTAAAGAATACAAACAGATCTATATTTATCAATCTACACAAAATCAATTCCAGTGAGACACACAACTTCAAAAATAACTGAAAGCGCAGATACAGTGATCATAATAGAAGAAGTGAGGAATTGCCTTGAACTCCTTGGCACAGGGAAATACTTTTATGAGCATAAGACCACTAGCATAGACAACAAGTGCTATTATTAAAAATGAAAGAAAGTGCCAAGTATTGGTGGCACATGCCTTTAATCGCAACACTCAGCAGGCAGTTGCAGGCAGATTTCTGAGTTCGAGATCAGCCTGGTCTACATGAGCTAGTACCAGGACAGTCTCCAAAGCCTCTGAGAAACCCTGTCTTGAAAAACAAAAAAATAAAAAATAAACAAATAAAAACAAAACAAAACAAAAATGAAAGCTTCTGCATAGCAAAGCAGATTATCATTTGGACAGAACAATAAAATACCTAATATGAAAAGTACTTTTTTGCCAATAACACATATAATAAAGTGTTAGTTTTCAAAATATTTATGAAAAACTTATTTTTAGGAAACCAAAGAACCTAGTTACAAATGAAGTCCAAACCTGTAGGCAGAGATCTTAGTTACGTGTATGGCTGGCCAAGCCTCTTTTGGGATGGTCACAGGTAGATAGCAGAGAAGAGAGATAAAGAGCTGGGGTTCCAGTCGGGTCTCGGTGAACTGTGGAGCACTGACCTTAGTTTCTCAGCTTCTCATGTAATAAAATATCGTATGACATCCCTACTTTGTCTAGCTTAATATTCCTCAATATCTGGTGTCTAAGAAGTGGAACATTCATGGGCTGTTGGGAGGTAAGTATACTCAGCCTCCACAGTTGAGCTGGTGAGAATAGTGGTCACTGCTGCAGTAACTGCCAGTCCCATGTGGCACTCCCGCTGCATATAATCAGCAAGCTGCCCGTCCACATGGAGCTCGCAGAAAGAGCTCCCCAAAACCCATCAGCACTGCCACATTCGCTCCCCCTCCTGCCAGTAAGGTTCTGCTGTCTCCCAAGTTTTCTCAGGCAGCCGTGTTCTCCTTTATGCATCTTTCCAAACTTGACCCCTTCTTCCCCGCAGGTCACCACAATCTGCACAGGGCTCTTTCCCTCCTTTTAACAAAATTCCACTTGCTAAATTTTGTAAAGGCTGCTTATAATTTTTCAGATTCCATTTGGAACATACTGAGAATGCGCTCTGGAACTGTGTTTGGTGGTACATCTGTGGCACCTGTTGACCAAACATGTTACTATAAGTAAAAATCCACAAAGTCCAAGATCACAGGATGTAAGATTTGCATTCTGGTAGTTTAAGCTGATAATAAGATTAACTACTCTATAAAAATGGCAGATAATCTTACCATGCAGAATGTTAGGGATCGCATTGCTTCTTATGTGGGTAACATCTTGGGAGAGGATTATGACCTGCCCATAATTTATCTATATCTAATGCTAATGACTAGCTTCATAATCCATATAATATCCTGGAAGAGAGGGATGGATAATAGGGTAAAATACAAGAAAGTTATGAAAACTGTTGGTAAATTAGAGACAAGAGTTCAAAATCTTGAGGACACTGGGGAAATGACAGAGAGATTGAGCACTTTAGAATGTAGGAGACAGGATTGGTTCCTTGACTGCTCCTTTAAGGACCAAAAGAGGATCAATTCAGTATGACATTATCAGGCTCGCAGAAACAACTCATTTCATGTCTGATGACTCGGTAAATAAAACCCCAAGTCTGGAACCTCAGGTTGGAAAACTTAACTAATTCAATGTCTGAGGATAATGACCAGCTATCAATTAGAACACTGTTCCTGAAAGCAACTTACATGCAATTCAGATAGTATCTAAGAATGAGAATATTAAATGTTTGTAGTCGTGTATAAATGAAGAATCCAAGAAACCAACAGATTCTGTGAAATTCTTGGAAATTTTTTCATAATTTTCTTCTTTTTATTAAAAAAATTAAAAACAGTGGAGTTCACTATGTAGCCCAGGCTGACCTCGAACTCATAACCCTCTTGCCTCAGCCTCACAAATGCTGGGATTACAGGCTTGCATCACCATGCCCAGCTCAATAATCTTTTACCATGGTTGATCTTTTCTCAATGAAGGTTAATGCCCAATTTGGCCTCTAGTCTTTGATTTGAGATTTACAATAGCAGAATACTGCATCACATACAGCCATCTTGATCAATGATCTACCTACATCTCATAGCCAGTTATCTTTCAGAACAAGTTACCAATGTAAATTATGCAATATTGTTGAAAATAAAAATACAGAGAAGTTTCTACATTCCCATACAGGCTTTAAAATGAGGTAATAAAAACTGATTAAACATTTTTATCATCCTGGAAATCTCAGGGACACAATGGTGACACAGCTTTTCTCGCATCTTTTCAAGTCAGGTGATTCTGAGACCCTTTTCTATGCTGGGAAATTATTTAGGAAATCCTTAAGCTTTGTTGGGTAGTTTGTCATGACTCCAGTCACTCCCAAATCAAAAGATCTTTTGTACTCATGCTCTTCATTTAAAACCCAAATGTAGACTTGGATGCCCCGGGCAGTGAGGTGGTCAAATAAAGCTTTCCGCATTAGTAAGTTATCAGAAAGCCAGATGAGAAACTTGTGACCGTTGGACATAGTGTGTGGTTCTTTTAGCTTCAGTATGATAGAAGGCATCAGAATTTAAAAGAACTGTTCTCGAATGGGCACAAAGGGCAAGAGGCCGGTAAAGAAAAGACAAAGGATGAGTAGGACATGCTGTAGGCTGAAGAGTATTGGGATATCTGAATTCTCTTTGTAACATTTGTCTACAATTTCAGAGTTGGCATTGCCCCACACCGTTAGGTGCTGTCTCTTATACTGCTTCACCAATTCTGAGACCTTTTGAATCAGCACATTGTTGTTGACTTTGATATTGATGTTAATGGGGGTCTCAGGAAAGGCTTCAAACACTTCCTTCAGCAATGGAATTCGGTTATCTTTTCCTTCACACTTGCATGCTCTCTGAAATGGGACATCCAGTTTGCAAAGAGAAGGTGGGAGCTCACAATATTTGAGATCAGAGACATTTACATTGATCCCAGTTGACCTCTTCAAGTTTGCATCATGTGACACTATGACTTGTTCATATTTTGTGATATGAACAACTGATAACATATCAGTTCCAATGTTAACGGCATGCTGGAAGGCATCCATTGTGTTCTCCAGGTTTTCTCCAGCAACTCCACGGTGAGAGATGTACCTACTGAGGGATCGCTGCTTCTTTTTCTGGTGCAACAACGTTGGATATTTAAGCAACAAGAATGACGTGACCAAATACCCTCCCATGGTAGAAAGAAGGCAAAAAAACCGCGGTGGACGACATCCTCGGTCACCACCTTCTGGGCCTCTGAACCCCACAGTGCCAAAGTGGTAGCAACTGCTGGGGCGCCGGCGGCTGCTGGAAATTTATTTGACCCGAAAACTTCAAGCGCTCAGGGAAACAATGAAAAGTAGATTGCAGGTCTTAGACATTCTCCAATCTGATACATCAGAAACAAACATCACAACAACAGGTCATGAAAGAGGTTTCTCCTCTTAGATGCTGGGAAGACCTTTCTAAGTTTGTTATGACCTCTCCCATGGTTTTACCAGCGTCTATGACTGAAAAACCAGCAAGAAAAAAAAATGGATTTGTTGCTTATCAATGGGAACTGATACAGATGAAGGACCTGAAGGGAATCAAAGAAGCCATTGTTTTATTATGATTTTCATTTGCCCTTTGTCAAGGAGCTCTGAAACTCATAGGCAACCATAGAGTGAGCCCTAAGAATTGAAGCCAATTGGCCTTAGCAGTGCTCAAAAATTCATCTAAAATACAATTGAAAGCTTTATGTAGGGAAGAAGCAAAAGCCTAAAAGCTTCAAAGATTAAAGAAAGGTAATGAAGCTCCCCAAGGTATGATTCTTGGTGACTGTGCCTAAGCTAATCCACAGGTTCAGGTTTTGTATGATGAACGCATCTTGTCTTTATGTCATACAACATCATGAACCAGGAGAGAATATATAACCCATACCAAAGTGGTACAGGGTTCAAATGAAAGGTTCACTGAATTTTTATAAAGATCATCCAGAGTAGTATAATTACAGGTAATCAATGGAGATTCTAGGTGAATGGCTATAGAATCACTTGTTTATGAGAATGCATATCCACAAAGAAAACATGTGCTTTGGCCATTAAAATCAGATCCATGCCATTGAAGGAATGAGTCCTGTATTCAGATAACCTTTAATATAAAGATCAAGATACAGAAACTTGGGTAGGAGAAGCAATTTCTAAAGGTTTGAGTATCACCAAGATGCCAAATATCTTAAAGGTGAGGATATAGTAGGTGGGTAGGAGAGGCAATCTACAGAGGTTTAAAAACACATTGAAATACCAGATGTATTAACTGTGGTAGAATAGGACATATAAGAAGAAATTTTAGGCAAAACATTCCTAGAAATAATGCTCCTTGTAGGAATGACTGAAACAGAATGTGTCAACCTTCTCGATTATGTAGGAGATGTGGCAAGAGCTGACACGGTACCAATGAATATATGCCACCTACATACAGAGAAGGTAAGCCTTTAAAATCAGGAAACTCATTAGGGGGGCTTTTTTCCCCATTTTATAATTTTATAATTTTAGCTTCTTTAACAAAGATCAGGTGTTCATATGTGTATGTGTTAATATAGGTGTGCTCAATTTAATTCCATTGGTCTTCCTGTCTATTTTTGCATCAATAACAAACTGTTTTCAGGACTATCGATGTATAATAGAGTTTGAAGTCAGGGATGATGATGCCTCTGGACACTGCTTTGTTGAACAGGGATGTTTTGGCTGTCCTGGGCCTTTTATTTTTCCACATAAAGTTGAGGATTGTTCTTTTAAGGTACGTGAAGAATTGTGCTGGGATTTTGATGGGTATTGCATTGAGGACTAACAGTACTTTTCTAAGACAAGCAAACAAATGAAAGTAACAAGGATAACAATTACTTTCTTATGACAAAATTCAGTACTCATAGATGAGGGTATTGCTCAGCTAAATCAAATATACCTTTTGCAGTATTTTTTTTTGCTTTTTCTCATTATGTTTTATGTTATTTTTTATTTCTTGGAAATTTTCTTGTCTTTTAATGAGACAAAATATAGTGACATAGACTATGGAGGACAGCTCCCACATCTGCTCCAGAGTAATAAAGAGAAGACCAGAGAGTAGCAGTTTTAGGAAAATTTTTATCTCAGTATTGCTAGGCTTTTCTATCTGAGGTTAAAAATAAACAAACTCACAGTTTGATGATAACTTTCTCCTTTGATTCCACTAAAAAAAATCTCTTTCTTGACAATCTCTTCTTTTTTTTTAATTTTATTTTCCAGTTTAAATTTAGATAAGAAACAAGGTTGCTTCACAAGTCAGTTCCAGGTCCCTCTCCCATTCCCTCCCTTCCTCCCGTGCCCTCCCCCCCCCCGTTATCCCCTCATTTCTCCAGGGAGGGTGAGGCCCTCCATGGGGGTGTGCATAGTGTGTCATTTCATATAGGGCAGGGCCTAGACCCTTCCCCAAGAGTTCAGGGTGAGAGTGCACCTCACATTGTTCTATGGGAGTCCAAAGTCCGTGTGTATACTTGGGACAATCTCTTCTTACAGACAAACATTACTCTCTTGCTCAGTTAGATATTTCTATATGCTTTTAGATATCTTTTCATTGACTACACACTTTACTTTTACAAAAAATTGTCTTCTAAGGCTCTTTTCTATACAAGTTCATCTTCCCAGCTTTCACACAGTTACAAACCTCTACACAGTCACAGCTATACAACTCACTTACATATCGTCTCACCATATACCACTTTAGATTCTTTCTAGGCACGGCTCCTCTTTGTAGCAGCAGCAGCTCTGCACACAGCTCTCTCTCACACTCATTCTAACACACATGCTTCTACATTATTCACACACTCTCTACTGACTTTTACTCCTTCACTCACTTACTTCTCTCATGCTTCTTCTTCCTCACTCACTCAGAACATGTTCACACTCGCATGCACACAGATGTGTGCACACATGCATGGATACACACACTTCTTATTCTGAAGCAACTTCTACATAGCTCTACGCAGCTGTGTTGCTCTATACTACAACACTCCTCTCATAGTCAAACTCTAGACAAATAAGCATTACATTTTCAGAGCCTGACCCATTCTCGTAACACAAGATAAGTCACATAGTTTCTCTTAGGCTAGTAATGTGATACTGACCCCTGCATGTAGCTCTAAATTAGTGAGGGTTCCCAGACAGTAAGCATTTGACATTGGGGAGTACATACATTGCTTCAGGGAGTTATGTTTACTAATGTTGCTTCTATTCTGACCTTGAATCAGCAAAACAAAACCTGAGAAAAGTGATCTCTGGAGGCCACCAGCTATTTGTCTCCAGAGGCAACCAGCTGGCTTTGAATTTTTCCTGGAGTCTAAATTTAGCTGTTTGTATAAAATGCTGTCTTGTGACTAGAATCCTATGTCAGTCTTACTGATGTAAAATATCCTAGTAGGTCTATTCAACTAAATTATACAGATTAAGTAGAAATCCTAATCCTGGCCATCCACAGGTATATGTGTGCTAAACAAGGATGAAACACCAACAAAGGACTGTTGAAAGATCCCCACAGCTGTTCTTCTTAGGGAAGTATAGTAGTGACACCCAAGAGCATTACAGAGGGAAAATAACCCTATGGCTTTGCCAAGGAGGACTCTCCAAGTTGGGAGACTTGTTTTTTTTATTATTTTAATTTTAAATACCTTGTTTTACATGGAGACTTGTTAAACACTAGTTGTTACTGCTGTACATTGCTACATTCCCCTTCAGAAATGTAGTGAACAAAAATCAGAGGGGAGATGGGGAGGTGTTGGTTAGAGTAGAGGGAGGGGAAACTGTAATGAGGATATTTTACATGAGAAAAATAACTATTTTAAGTTTAAGAATTCTTCTTGATTTTGTCTCCATCTACTCATAGAGATTGGTTGCACCTCATATATATATATCAATCTACTCTATTTTTTTCAGGTTTTGTTTCATGTACTATTTTATTATTAATTACATTTCTCAAATGCAATGAGGTCCAAGAAATAAAAGTACTTCCACAAGAGATTCCATCTTTCTTCAGAATACTGTGTTGCTGAGGGTAATGTATTAATGAGGAGAAAGATTATTGTACTCCTCTGTTCGTCTAGAAAACATAAAGGCATTAGAATAGTGTTTAGAATCTATTGGCATAGACAGGTAATATATAAGAAAATGAAGAACATGTCTTAATTTCTTAGGAATTCATTTTATGAAATAGTCTACTTCTAAAGTTTATTTTTGAAACATTAATAATTTTATTGAACACATTACATTGCAAAAAGAAAGGATTGGATTGGACTTAAATATCAGAAACAGGATCTTTAACTGATTCTTTTATAAAATGATGTAAAAATATATTATTTCATATTGATTTCTTCAGCTATTCAATGAAGAGATTGAAATCTAGCACATGTATGATTTTAAGTACCATTTCACATTTATAAACCTTGAAATAATATCATCATTCATATTTCTATAGAATATATAGACAATTTTGTACTCCAGATAATATGCTGCAAAATTAATGCCGTGTACAATTAATTTTGTAACTAATTATAACTCATGTTGTACCAAAAGGTGGAGGAAACAGAGAAAAAAGCAAGAAACCTGACTTATTATCTATAACTCAGGCATCAATTTATTTTTCTCTATGAAAACCAAAGGCACTAAGATGCAGAATTGTTTTACCTAATTACTTTTATGGAATAGGATGAACATGTTAACTTATTTAAAATCTACAATATCTCTTCTATTATCCAAATCTTTACTTTTATCCTTCTTGACAACCATATAAAGAATAACTTGACATTTTTTAATGGCACTTACTCCAATGGCACTGTTCTCTCTTTGGTGTTAAAAGAAAATCAATTTCAAAGATTTTATCACTTTGCAAGTAACTTACTTATCATTTTGCCCAGGTGTTTTCTCTTGGTGAATTTATGTTTTAGTAAATGAAATACTGAATCTCTGCTTGGAAATTGACTGTGTAAAACAGACAGGTAGGTGATTTTCACTGTCCTTTCCAACCTTTAAGTTCAATTCCTTATTTCATGAAATCTGGAACACTATAAAAAGATCACACATAGGAATGATTGGAATAGAGAAGGAGTAACCCTCTCTCTAAGGAACAGCAAATATTTTCAACAAAATCATAGAAGTAAATTTTCCTAATCCAAAGAAGGAGATGCCTGCAAAGTACAAGAATCATACACAAACCAGATAGACTGGGCCAGAAAAGAAATGACCATGAACACATAATAATAATGACAGTAAACATATACAACAAAGGAATAATATTATAATCTCTAAGGGAATAACCAGAGAACAAATAAGTACAGACAAATTGTAATAACACATGACTTCTCAATAGAGACTCTAGAAGACTGAAGTTCTTGAACAGATATTCTTTAGATTCTAACAGACCACAGATGCCAGTCCAGACTACTATTTCCAGTAAAACTTTCAATAATGGTAGATGGAAAAAATAAGATACTCCATGACTAAAAAACCTCAAATTTAAGCAACACATATCTACAAATCTAGCTCTAGTGTAGAGATTGTAAAGAAAATTTCAACCGAAAGAGGTCATCGCACCCAAGAAAACAAATGGAATAAATATCCCAAACCCAGAAAATCAAAAGAGAGATCACACACACACACACACACACACACACACACACACACACCACAAAATAGGATGGATATAAAAAAATTGGAAAAAAGAAAAAGTCTACCAACTCAAGGAAACTGAGCGATTCTCTACTCAATGAAAAAGAAGGTGAAATCAATTAAATAGAAACAAATTACACCAAAAAACAAACAAACAAAAAACACGAAACAAAAACAAAGAAACCCCACAAAAATCAGTAAAAGAAATTTTTGGCTCATTGGAAAAATTAACAATATTTACAAACCCTTAGGAAAAACAACTAAAAGGTAGAGAGAGAGAAGATTCAACTTAACAAAATACAGACAAAATGGGACATAATAACAGTCACTGAGGAAATATAAAGAATGATAAGGACTTACTTTGAAAACCTGCATTAAACCAAATTGGAAAATCTAACAAAATGGTAATTTCCTTGATATGGACCACTGCCCAAATTTAAATCAATATATAATAAGTAACTTCCAGTGAAAGAGGAACAGTAATGAAAATTCACTAAATCAATACAGCCCAGGGTCAGGGGGTTTTAGAAGAGAATTCTAACATACTTTGAAGAATTGCTATAAATATGCCTCAAGTTTTTCCAAAAATTTTTTCCAAAGAATGAAATAGATGGAATATTGACCATGGTTTTACATGGCCACAGTTGCCACTATACTTCAACGACATAAAGACACCTCAAAGCAAAGAATTCCATATCAACATCACTTGCGAATATAAATGCAGAAGTTCTCAGTAAGATACTTGAAAACTGATGTCACCTACACATCCAAACTGTCATTCATCATGATCAAGTAGCCTTAATCCCAGAGATGAAGGGAAGACTCACCATATATAAAGTGATAAATGTAATCTACTATTGCATTGACCTCCCTCATCAATCTACCATATAAATATGCTGAGAAACAAAATCCATAGCATCATCACAGATGCGGAAAAAATTGATTCCCCTTAAACAATAAAATTTCTGGTGTGAATATAGACATAACTCACATACTTTATTATAATGAACACAATTCTCAATAAGTGCAAAATCATTATCACTATAAATAGAGAGAAATGCAAAGGATTTCTACTAAAATCCAGAACAAGACAAGGTTGTCCACTCTGTCCATACTTATTCAATATATTACCTGAGGTCTTTCCTAGAGGAGGAATAAGACAGGTGAAGGAGAACAGATGGATACAAATTGGAAAAGAAATCAATGTATCTTTATTTGCATGGTTTACTTAAGTAATCCCACTAAGAGATTCCTATAGTGGATGATTTCAACAAACGAGTTGATTAGAAAATTTGAGTTAATCAATAAATAGTTGTCTAAAATACAATGAGAAATAAATCAGGGAAGCAATACATTTCACATTATACTTAGAGAAACATAAAATAACTTGGGATAACTGAAACCAAGAAAGTTAAGACTTATATAACAAAATATTTAAGATACTGATAAAATAAATAAAAGATATCTGAATATTGAAATATTTGACATGCTTACTGATAGGTAAGAATACATATTCAATAAATCCCCAATAAAATTCTTACAAAGTCCTTCATAGATTTCTAAGGGACAACACACACACACACACACACACACACACACGGATAGCTAGACAATCATGAATAACTGCTGGGGATGTTTTACCATCTCCAATTTCAAGTGGTACCAGAGAGTTAGAATCATAAAAAGAACATAATATTGATCAATGGAATATAACTGAAGACTCAGATAAAATTCACACCCCCATGAACAACTGATACTTTGTTTAAAAGAACAAATATGCAGTGATAAAAGGCAAAATCTTCAACAAAATATGCTTTTCAAACTTGTTGTCTGCAAGTTGAAAAATACAAATAAAACTTCATCTATTCACTCTGTATAAAACTTAATTCCAAATGGTTTATAGTCCTCAAGATAAGGACACATGACCTGACACTGATAGATAAGAGAGCTGGGGATAGTTTCGAACTCACTGAGAAGGTAAAGGATGTTCTGACGAAAACACTTATAGTACATGCACTAAGAACAATTACTAAATAGGATGCATTGAAACTGAAAATCTCTATAGTAAAGGATGCTGTCCTTGAGAAAAAGTGACTGTCTACAGAGTAAGAAAATAATTAACTAACTACACAACTGAATGAAGGCTGATATCAAAAATATAGAAAAGAGCTAAAATAACTTGACATTACCAAAACTAATAGCCCAATTAAAAATGTGGTGCAGATTTGAACAGAGTATTCTCAAAAGAGAAAACATAAAGGTATCAGAACTACTTTAAAATGTTGAACATCCCTAGTCATTAGGGAAATACAAATCAAACCCACTTTGAAATTTCATGTTGCAGAAGCAGAATGTTCAAGATCATTAAAGCCACTGACAAATCATGATGATAAGGATGTGTGTGAAGTGA